AGTAATTTGCTTTAACACTGGAGTGATGGTTACAATTCTTTCAGGTCAAAATTTTAAAGTCATTTTCATCAAAGACAGGGGCAGGGGGAGTAATTAAATGAAGTATTAAAGTTCTGTTTTTAAAAGTTTTAAAATTTTTTGATAAGAAAAGTTAAAAAAAAAATTAGAATTTTTTGAAAATTTTTTTCATAGACGTGGAAAATTTCAGATCAATATGATCTACTTCGTGGGTTTCTGCGCTTCATCTGCAGCACTGCTGGCATCGTATGTTTATTCTCGTCTAACAGCTCAGGTAGTTTGTGATTTGAAAGTTTCTTTTGCTGTATTTTGGGATAGATTTTAAGAGGTTCTAGCCAGTTTTCCCGCATATTCCGTTGAACGTAAAGATTATTTATTGCATTATGTAAGTATTTTTGCATTAATCTTTGGTACACATGATTTATTTTTGTCTTCCACACAAATTTAGTGAAGCCTTTACGGTCATTTTTGTACTAATAATTTATATTATCATAAAAAGAATGACGTAAGTAACGGGGAAGAAGAGCAGTCACAGTGGTATATATAAAAAATCTAAAAAATTTGCCAGAACTATGAATTTTAGAAAGCTGAAATCTTAGGTTCCCGTCCAAGCGGGTATTAGTGCGCTCAAACCCAGCTCCCGAATAAGAGTGTTACCTGCATCCGGGACCGCCAAAATTTTTTCGGACAAGCTAATAACTCGAGTACCCGAGAAGCTTGCCTATGCTAATACATATTAATAAGAAGCCAGCAGTGCTAATGTACTGTATCGGTGTGATTCTGGAAAAACTGCTTGTGTCGATCTTAAGGCGATATGCACGGAAAGTTCATTCCTTTTACAGCGATGTCTATCTTTCAAACAAGTACCGGAAAAGTGATGGAGTTGAGGATCATTTTTTAAAAACAATAATCATTTTTGATACCTTTTTTGAGTAAATGAAAAACATTTCGTGTTGTATATGTCCGTCCACCCGGATAATGCAGCTCAAGCACTGCAAAAGCCAGGAAACACGGATTTTCGGGATGCAGTTTGTGGTCTTTTATAGGATCACATTTCTAAAATCAGCATTCAAATTTTAGTCTTCATGCCTGTGGCCTCAAGTCCAAATTTATTTCGATTTCACACAGTTCCAGAAGTGAATGGAACTTGGAATTTTGTCTTTTTATGGTATTAACTGTGTAACATCAGTACAAAACGAATATTGTCACGGAGTTGTCTTTGTGCGTATGTGTATATGTGTGTGTATATATATATGTGTGTATGTGTATGTGTCTGCGTGCATGTGTGTGTGTGTCCGCAGCAATTTGCCCGCAACTTTCAATTCGAGAACAACAAAAGCTAGGAAGTTGAAAATTTAGGGTTATGTTCCCCGCCCATGCGTGACCTCGCAATTTTAAATTCAGCCTTTCCATGCCTAGGGGTAGCACGCACGGCCCCATAGAACTTTTGGCGGGTTGATTATTATCTCGAGAACCATAGAATCTAGAAAGCTGAAATTTTAGGGTAATGATGCTGCCCTCATGACCTCGCAAATTAAAATTCAACGTTCCCGCGCTCTCGGATATCACCCTCGGTTCCGTCAAAATTTTGGCGAAGAAGTATTATTT